GTGAATGATATTTTCGAACGTATTGCTGCCGAATCATCACGTTTGTCACATTATAACAAACGTAGCACCATTACATCGAGAGAAGTTCAAACTGCTGTCCGTCTTTTGTTACCTGGTGAATTGGCTAAACATGCTGTATCCGAAGGTACCAAAGCTGTTACCAAATATACATCCAGCAAATAAATTTCCATCATTTACATCATATAAAAAACGGTCCTTTTTAGGACCACAATTCCAATTACGAATTTGAGCAAATTTTTTTTTTGCATTTTGTAAAATTTGACATTTTTTTTGTAATAAACTTGACCATAATAAATAAAAATGAATAAAAAAACCAAAAACATTCGATTTTCATTGATTCACCGAAAGATCAAAAGATTTCGGATTACTTTAATATAATGGATTCTTTTGTTAATATAAGTATGGTTTTTATAATATGATGATTAAATCAAAAAAAAAAAGTTTATGCTTTTTAATATGTTAATGACGAGGAAGAAAATAAATTTCCGATGATTTTTTCATGCCTAACCTATCATAAACTGTTGAACGTTGTTGTTGTTGTGGTGATCTTGATTCAATACGTTCGAATACAGGTTTTTTTCCAAGACGATCTATTTAGAGAAAATAGAGAAAATAAGTAAATGATAATCAAATTAAAATCAAATATTATTTAACCTTTAATACTTGATACGGTGGTTGATACGGATGTATTTCTTTGTATAGGATTTGATCGTTGTTGAATAGTTTTATTGAATAAAGTATCATTTTTACGAATATCCAATCGTGAATTATGAGTGATGGTAGTGGCGGTAGTGGAGAGACGATTTTGAATTGATGGATTTTGTAATAATGAAGATTTGTTTGATTGATTCGATATTATAGCATTTTGAATTTGGTTAGAAAATTTTGTCAAACGGCTTTGTGCTTCAATTTTATTACGAATTTGTGGATTCGTTGAAGTTGTTGTTTTCATCATTTTTGATGCCGATGTTGAAACATCATTATTATCATCATCATCATCGGTTGGTGGTTCGATACGTTTTCGAGCGGGAATAATAGCATTCAATCCGGTAACATTACGAATAATTGTTGGTGATGAATTTCGTTTTGGAAACACTGTGTTCGTTTTAGTAATCATTTGATTATTTCTAGCCATTTGAACATTATTTGATGGAATTTTTACAATTCTTTTCAGACTAGGTGCTTTGACAATTCTTGTCGAAGGTATTCCAGTAGTACGAGAATCAGATTGTTTTTGTACATTATTATTCGATGAAATTGTTGAATCAGCTTGATGAAATGTTTTCGATGTTCCTTGTGATGAATCTTTATCTTTAGCAGAAGCCGTCGAATCATCAGTACTAAAAACTTTTTCTCGATATGAATTTGTATGTACTTCTTTGGCATGTCTAAGTATCGATATAACATCGCCCATTTTTTTAATTTTCATATCATACAGAATTTCTTTATTCAATTCATCTAACATATCAAATCTTATACGATTTTCAGTAAATATTATAGCATAATTATCAGCTATATCTGATGGTAAACCAGCATCAATAAAAAAACGTTTCCATCGATGTGATGTCATTATTATTATGGATTATATTGGGAAAAAAATTCAGCGAAAAAATCAAACCAAAAATAATTATTACGAAAAAAAAAACAAACAGTATTCAATAAGATAATTTATTCCATCGAATCAACACCGAATCATCATATTTCCCAAAAAAAAACTCAATGTGGAGCAAAACAAAAACAATAAAAAATTCTTTCGAACGTTTGCAGAATCCTCGACCCTATTCGTAAACGAGGTATGTTTTTTTTTTGCATTAAAATCACGCATCGATGCGCTGCGTTCGATTTGTTTTTCTTAATGGCCTGTTATTAATGTTGTCTGTTGCCGCCGCGTTGTGTTTATGTTATGTTTTGTGTATGACACGTAAGCTGTATGAATGAAAAAAAAAACATTTCGCTATTCGAGTCAAAATAACTTTTATAAATAAAAAAATCGGTTTAAAGAATTAATTTTTTCATCATCATCATCATCCAGCAATAATGGAATGATAATTCCGTTGACTCTCATCTTTGTTTTATATCAAATTTATTGATCTTGAAGATTTTAATCATTCATTCATTCATATGACGTTAAACTCGATAAAAAAAAGTAGAACACAAATCGAATAATTAAGTCGTAGTCATTATTTTCATTAGTAAATTCTCATCATTCAATGTTGAACGAACGAATGAATGAATCAATGAAAAAGTAGATTTATCATCCATAATCACATATCTAATATATTTGTTTTATTGTACAAAAAAAAAATTTAATCAGCTGATAACATTTTCAGTAATTTTACACGTAACGATTTATCGTATACATTGCTCTTCATATTTATCAAAATTAAGACCTCACTCACGCAAATATTTTATTGAGTTAATCAATCAATCAATCAATCAATCAATTGAACAAATGATCAAATTCATTCGATTGTTGTTGTTGTTTTTGTTGGAAAATTCTTAATTTTATTGTTTGTTGTTCATCAAATAAACCATTAAATTATGGTTAACATAATGAAACCTGTGTTATTATTATTTCATCAAAATTTTCAATCATCATACATTATTTGGTTATTTACATTTTGGCTATTGATTTCAATAAATGATGCTAAAAGTAAATTACCCAATTATCAATCAATATTATGTGCCGATATTCATTGTAAAGGTATATTTTGTTTTGTTTTGTTTTTTCTCCAACTAACATTTTTCATTTTCATTTAAAAGAACCTATCGCTGATGGTATTACAACCATACGATATCCATCACCGGATAGAAATTTATTATCATTTAAAAAAGATTTAAATGTAAAAATATTAGGAAAAACTGATGATAAAATTTATTATTTTGCTGAAGTAAGTATTTATTTCTTCATGATTCACATTTGTAAATTATTCATTCAATTTGTTACTAGGTAAATAAAAAACGTGGTTTTGTGCCTGCAAAATTAATCAAAGAAACAAATGTTCATTTTGATGAAACCAAACTTGATAAAGTTCAATTTGATTTTGATGAATATGAAAAATCATTAAAATCATCTATTTCGATTGTTGAATCTGGTTCGGATATTCTCGACGATAGTAATAATGGTCAAATTAATGATTCAATTGTATTGAGCAGTTCTTCTAATGTTGATCATCATAATCAAGTGCCCAATGATTCATCAATATCACAACAATCATCGGCAACACCATTTGTTTATTCACAAAAAGTTACTGTTATTGATGGAACTACTATAAATGAAGATCTTCTTGGTGGATTAAACACTGCCACACCATCACCAACATTTGTTCAAAATCCAGTTACAAAAACAGCAACGATTGAAGCAAATTTCAGCAATATTATTGATAATGAACTTGATTCGAAAAATGTTAACAATCAAAATGAAAGTGAATTAAATAAACAACATGGATCATTATTAAAACAATTAGGTGAACCTATGGTTGTCGTTCAAAATTCTACTGTCGATTCAACTGTTCAAGATGATGTTACTGTTTCTGGTGAAGATTCATCCGAAATTGTTGAATCATTAGATGCTGTTCACAATTCAACTTCTAATGTAGTCAATGAAGAAAAAAATGATAGCAATAAAGAATCAACAAAGAATTCAACATTAGTAGCCGATGAAAATGAAGTTAAAGTTGAAGAAAATAATGATGATAAAACGGTGCAACAAGAAATGAAAATTTCTGAACCTGAAGCACCAATCAATTCAGATTCGGTCAACAACAACCAGATACCAAAAACTAATGATTCGGATGTTTTAAAAGCTGAAACAGTAATGAATGAAACTTTGAATGAAAATCCATCGATACAAGAAGAAAAAAAGGAAAATTCAAATAACCTCGAGGTTGATAAAATTAATGATAAGGTAGCTGCTGAATCGGCTAAAAATGATTCGCAAACTACGATTGAACAGCAACAAACTGTTGAACAAGCATCACAATTGCCTGTTAGTAATGATAGTAATCAACAACAACAACAGCAAAAAAATGATGATTTTCAACAAGAAATCCATCGAGCAAAAAGAGATTCAGAACAACAACAACAGACGGAAAAAGTTGAAGAAAATAATCTCAAAGATGCAAGTAATAATCAATCTTCGATATCTTCTTCTAACAGCACTGTGGATAATAACAACAACAACGATAATGTTGATTCAATATCATCTTCATCACAAACCTCGTCGCAGCCGATAGCCGCTGCAGACATTCCACAAAATTTACATCAGCAAATTCATCCTCCAGCTCATCATCATCATCATCAGCAACAACAAGCATCACCACCAACAAATGTTGATTCTTCCAAAATCAATCCAGAATTGAATGAACAAAATGTACAACCGGTTAACAATATTAATCAACAAGTCGATAGTAATAATAATCTTCCTCCTCATCAGCCTCATTTGCATCCAAAATTGATTCAACGTACTCATGTTGAAGATTTAAAAGATACAGTTAATGTTGATCCATTGAATAATCCTCAGCCGCCGCCACCACCAATACAACAGCAACAACAACAAATTCATTCTACACCAGAATCGTTACCGGAATCACCAAATTCCAATAAAGAATATTCAAATGAAAATCATCATTCGCAATCAACTGCAAATTTTCATGCCGAAGGAAGTGTTTTAAATTCAAAACATAAACCATTTGTAGAGAATAGACCAGCACCTATCGATAATCAAAATCAACAACAACAACAACAATCAGTTGTATCGGAAAGATTATTAGTAAATCCGGTTATACATTCGGAACAATATCAACCACCAGTTAATAGTAATATATTTAAAAGAAAATTATTAGCCGAAAGAGTTGGATTTGTTAGTGTTATTATGGAGATAATACCGGATGAAGTGGAACTTTTTTTCGAAAGTTTTAATATTTCATTACATGCAATCATATTTACATCGATTGTTGCATTTTTTTGGTGTTTAATGAAAGTTTTCATATTTTTCGTTAGTTCATCGAAAAAAGTCCGTGAATTACAAGGTATGTTTTTTTTCTGTTTTATTGATTTTTGGTTAACATTTACAACTTTTTTCTCCCTCGAAAAGATACAATTTGTCAAACACAAAGAAAACTTTATTATTTTGAAGCAGAAAAAGATAAGATCAAAGAAGAATATGTTCTTTGTCGTGATGAGGTAATGTTTTTTGATTTGATTTGATTTTTTGTCCAAAAATATTTATGGCTAATCATTTTTTTCATAAATAAAGTATTCTTGCTATAAAGATAATCTTCATCGAATTGAAAAACGTAAATATCAATTGGAACAAGAAAATGAAAAACTAAAGGTAAGGATTTCATTAAGATTTCCTTTAATTTTTTTTAATTTTTTTTAATTTTTTCTTGGCTTTTTTAGACTGAAATTGTAGGTTTGAAAAAAGATAATTCATCATTGAAAATTCAAGCCGAATCAAATCCAATAATTAGTTCGAAATTAGATCAAATTTCATTGGAATTAAATAGATTTAAACAAGAAAATAATGAATTATGTTCGAAAATTGTCGAACTTGAAACACAAATCGATCAGAATTTGACGACTATCAAACAACAAGAACGAGCTGCTCGTGCTGATAAAGAAGAGGTTTGAATTTTTTTTTTCTTCTGATTTTTTATTTTAATTCTTTTGGTATTTTCAACAGATTGACAACCTGAATGATCAATTAATGACATTGAATGAAGAGATAGAAAAATTAAACGAAACAATCAAAGAATTGGAACAACAATATAATATTGTACAATCGGAAAATCTTGATCTTAAAGAATTACAAAATAAACTTAGTGAAGAATTAAAAGAAATGAAAGATGATTTACTTTCGTCGGAAGAAAAAGCTAGAAATTTTGAAAATGATTATAAATCAATGGAATCGAAATTGAAAACAAGTGAAGAAAAAATGGCTACATTTATGAAAGAAATTGAAAATAAAAATTCCGAAATTATTTCAATGCAAACATTATTGAATAAATTGAATAAAAATTTAACAAAAAGTAAAGAACATGTTCGTCGTCGACAAAGATCCGCTACTAATATGAATGGTGATCTTGCTATTGATGGTGTTAATGGTGATGAAGATTTAATCAATAATACAAATGATGATGATGAACAAAATATTGAAGGTGGTGGTGAAGATTCAATTTGTCTGCAAGATGTTATACAATTACAACTTCGTTTAACACAAATGGAAACAGAAAAAGAACAATTTAGACAAAAATTTGAAACAGTACAAAAACAATTACAAGATATAACAGATGAAATAGAATCAACAAGAAAATTAAATCAACAATTAAAACAAAATGCTGAAAATGCATTACAAGAAAAATTTAAAGCTATAACCGAATTAGAAGTATTGTCCAAATATTATAAAGAAAAAGAATTGGAATATGCTAAAGATATTGGTGTACATAGAGTTAAACAAGAACAACAAAATGAAGATGTTGAATCATTATTATCAAAATTAAATGTTACCGAAGAAGAAAATACCATTATAAAAGATCAATTAAAATCGATAAAAAAAGAATTAGAAGAAACTGAACGTCGTTATAAAAGTCAATTAAATCAATTGGAAAAACATTCACATGAAAATTGGATAGCTGCACGTTCAGCTGAACGAAAATTAGAGGAAACAAAAGCTGAAGCTTCTGCCTTACGACAAGCCTTATCACAATCGGTAAAATCTCCACCGCCGGGTGAATTTTCTTTTGGTGGTTATTTAGACGATACGGCTAGTTCGGTTAGTTCAATACCTGAAGCTCTTAATACTTCATTACCGGTACCACCACCACCGCCTCCACCATTTCCGTTTCCATCGATATTTGGTTCAACAATACCTCCACCACCACCACCGTCTCAAGTTTTAGGAACACCATTGACCAATCCAGCGGCAAATCTATTCGATCTGAATGAACAACATAATGCAGCTGTTCATGCAGCTGCTACAAATTCCTCTTATTGGAATTCACCATCCGCTGTTGCTGCTCCAGTTACTGCTCAAGCTCCAATTATTCAAGCTCAAAGTTCCAATACATCGAATACATTTGCATTTGATCCATCCAAAAATATTGCATCTACCGATATAAATATGACATATACACAGATAAATCCAATGTCTCATCATCAACAACAACAACAACAACCACCATCGCAGCCTTCCAATTCTAATATTCAACAACAACAACAACCACAGCAATATAATACTAACAATTCGTATGGTGGTTATTATCCAAGTGGCGGTCATCAACAACAACAACTGCAACAACATTCGTTTCATTCCAGTCAATTGGATTTGACACGGAATACTTATTCACCTGCATTATCTCAACGTTCAACGCATACACCTTTGACTACGGTCAATCCGAATGCAATTAATCATCATTATGATATGCAAAGAGCTTCACAATCTAATCCATATGTATCGCCACCACAGCAACAACAACAACAACAACAGCCTAATCCAAATCCATTTAGTTTAAATTATACAACAACTGGCTATACTCAACAACAACAGCCACCACCATCTACAAATGATGTTTATTCAAATTCTCATCATCATCAACAACAACAACAGCAATCATATAATATTGGTGGACATCAACAACAACAACCTGTGATCGATCCAAATAATACAATGCATTCATCATATTCTTCTTCTTCAACACAACAACAACAACAACAACAAGGAACAAATTATACGACACATCAGCCATCAATATCAAATCAATCAAGACCACAATCGGTCCATAATCAGATGGTTTAAAAATGATGTTTGATGAATGTGTTAATTTGAAAGAGTTTTTCTGAATGTCCCAATTTTACATTTATGTAGGAAATGTTTTCTTTTTTCCCCACTTTTCTCACCAACAGAAATGATTGATTGATTAAAAGCCAATTATTATTATTTATTCTAATTTTCATGTTTGTTTGTCTTTTAAAATGTATAATTATTTGAAAAAAATATAATTTTGAAATGTTTTATTTGAAAAAAAATATTGCATTTATGAATTTGGCAAATTAACTGTAGAATCAGTAACAAAGCTCGAATTCGAAGTCATTGTTGTTGGTGGTGATGGTGGAAGAATTGGAGATGCTGAGCTTTGAATATTATCGGAAGACATTTCAGGTTGTTGCTGCTGCTGATTATGATGATGATAACTCGGTGGTAAATAACTGGGTGGAATTTGTGGCGGTAATGGCAATGAAGATGGTACATTTGGTTTCCATCCAGCATACAATTGTTCACGTTCAGCTTCTCTTCGTTGTTCTTCTTGTTTCATTTCTTCATATGCTTGTAATTCTTGTTGATATTTTGGTTGTGCAATACCTAATGCATCGACCAATGTTTCACTTATATTACGAAACATTTGTAAAAATCTTATTGTTACTAATGAACCACCGGCTAAAATTTTACCAACAATACCAAGATTATTGTATAACTAGAAAAATTTTAAAAAACAAAACAAAAATTAAATAAATAAAAAACAATTGATTTGATATTTACATCAACTAATTCATTGGATAAAACAACATCCTGTATTTCATCTTCATCTTCATCGTCGTCGTCATCATCATTTGTTGTTATCACATTGTTCGAATTTGATGATAATTCACCAGGATAGATAACACCATCACTATAATAGATTGCAGGTTGTGATGGCGGCGGTGGCGGTGGTGGTGGAAGAAACATCGAAGTTTTTTGTTCTTGTTCCGGTATCACGTTAGTCGGTGGATTAAGATTATTTGTATATGCTGTAGGCATTTGATATGTTTCTGTAGAAAAATAATTTGCATTATTATTGCTGTTTTGCGATTCATTCAACGGTGGTGGTGGTGGTGGATTATAAGCTGATATTTGATATGAAGATATTGGTGCTGATATACCCGAATCAGCGATTGTTGGTGGATAAACACTAGGAACAAGATAAGTTGTTGACATCGGTGTTGTTGATGATGATTGTATTGATGAATTTGTCATCATCGTTGTTTGTACTGATTGTTGTTGTTGTTGTTGATGATGATTAGGATCTAAATTGTCATCAATCGATGATGGCAAAGTTTCAACTTTATTATTATTGTCCATTGTAGAATCAAATCAACCAAGAATTGAAAAAAAAATGTTTAAATTCGAACGAATTTGTTTTACGGTTTTTATTAATTACATACAATGTAAACGTCATCAGATTATATATGAGTTAAATTCATTCGAATAAAAACGACATCTATTGTCAGTTTATGGAAATAATAGAATTTTCAAAAAAAAAATCAAAATTCAAAATAACGCCATCTATGATTTGAAAAAAAAACATTTTCTCAACGATCAAACGAAATGACCAGAAGAATTTTTTCCAATCAACTTTAATCCTATCCAAGGATTTACTAACAAATCAATCAATAGATCGATACAAGATGTACAGCAACAACAACAAAACCAGCCATAATTCCAAAGATATTGACGTTGTTTGTTTTGTTTTTTTCATGTAAAAAGATCAACAAAAAAAAAAAAATATGGAAAATAAGAAAATAAAATGGCAAAACTTTTAACCCCCCACTATTAACGATTATTTTTCATCATATCCCCCTCTTCCGACAAAATAAAGCATACTTTATTTTATTTTAGTTAAGATGTTTATATTTTATTTATTTTTTGTAGATTTATAGATTAACATTTGATCCGGATATCGATCTGTCATTTACACACACATACACAAAAACAATAACAGAAACAGAAACAAATTCTTAAAATATAATCCTTTTTTAAAAGAATTAAATAAGATCTAAATGTTGTTGTTGTTGTTTTCATAAATGTCAACGCATTAACAAGAAAAACAATATCAAGTTCTTTTCAAGAATCACCGTAATTAAAAAGTGCGCCATCAACCATCATTATGGAGATATATTATGGTTACATGAATCTTTTGGTTTTTTGGATTTGAACTCAATTTGTTGATTGAAAAATTTTAAAATTTTTTCAAAAATTCAAAAATCCAAAATTCAATCAACGACATTAATATGAATATTGCGTTTTTCTCAACTCTGTTCAACCAGATAGAAGACAGAAGCAAAAAATAGAATTCAAATTTTTTTGTTTTTGCTTTTTTCAATTGAATAAAATCAATTAAATTAAAAATAAAAAATTTGAATTTTTAATTAAGTTTGATAATGAACAAAAAAGATAATGACAAATGTTGATGATGATGATCATTGATGCAAATTATTATCATTATTATTATTTTATGTCAATGGTTTATTTATGTAAAGTTTTTTTTTGTTTTTGTTTTTGTCTGCGTTTGTTTGTTTGTTTGTTTGTCTGTGTTCATTCATTATTTCAACGATCAAAAAATATAAAAATTTTGACTAAACTAAATAACAAGCAGACTGTGGTGATGATGATGATGATGATAATAATGATTTTTCAGAATCCCCAAAAAGAATTATTATTATTTTCATCGTGAAATGAATTTGGGAGCCACCGACCAACCAGCCATGAACCATTAAGACTTTTGACATTTGACATTTTGAATAGAAACAAGGCGGCATTTGAATTGTTTATCACATTTTTACATCTATCAATTGATGTGTGTGTGATACGCCAAAATAAACAAGGATCTTTTTGAAAACAAAAAAAAATTCTGTCCAACAAGTTGTTGTTGCATCACAAAAAACAAAAAACAAAAAAGATTCAACCAACCATAAATTCTTTGTCCAAATGGAATGAATGCTGATGAAATGTTTTTTTTTTCGGTTTTTTACAACTTTGAAAATGACATCGCTTTTTACAGTTATTTAATTTTTATTTTTTGAATATTGTATTCCTGGATGGAGTTTTTTGTTTTGTTTTCTGGCTTGGTCGTCAACACCATAAGCCATGAAACAGAAACAGAAATAGGAAAAATATGATCAAAAACACAAAGTGAGAAGGAAAATAAATAAAATCATCCATCGAATGAATGAATCATCTATTGATTTGTCCTAAATGAAAATGTCCTCGACCAAATTTTTCTTTTTTTCGTCAATTGATGATCATTATTTTCAATAATAATAATAATATTCATTAATCGAATGAAGAATAACGATGTTGATGATGATTTTAATGACAGTCGTTGTAGTTGGTAACAGGGGAAAAAAAACACTAAATTTTATTTCAGACTAAACAACATGATGATGTTCGGGTGTGAATATTGTTTGTTTGTTTTTTTTATTAGTTATTTTTCTATTCCACAATTTTGGTTTTGCCTAAAAAATTCATTTGTCCTATTAACACTTTACCATTATTATTTGATCATGGATAATCCGGAATTTATAAATCAAAAAAAAAACATTCAGGCAAATAATAAACATTTCAATCAATAAATAAATAAAAAAAGATTTTTTTTTTTCATTGAAACATTTTTACTTCCTATCAGCGTAATGCAATGCTGTGATATTACATTTGATTTGATGTAATGTAATTTGGTCCTTGGTCGTCTTTTTTTCAAAAAAAAAAATGGAACAAAAAAAGGATTGTGTGTGTGTGTGCAAGCGAGTGTTAATGTTCGTTTTGAAGGATACAATGCCACCAATATACTTGTTGTTGCTGTTTGTTAGTTTGGTTTCCAATGTCATCAAATGAAGTAAAAAAACAAAATGGAGATCATGGTTAGAGTTGCTATATTCAGCGAATAATATCCCCATCAAAAGAAAAAAAATCGAAGCATCCTTGTATCAAAAAAAATATTTATTCATTCATTTATGTCCTTGATTGAAAGTTTATTGTCTGTTGTTGTTTGTGCATCCATGAACTAAACATGGTGGCCAACTTAAACAACACTGGTGGCCATGTTTTCTTCCTCAATTTGATGATGTTTTTCAATTGAGTTCTTTTTTTTTGTAACAGTGTCATCATAAACATCCATGGCCAGACAATATTTGTTGATTATTTATTTAAATCAAATAAAGTTTATATATATAAAAAAATGTCCTTCTATATAGAGATATTTATTTATTCGTTATTTCGTTTCTATTAACAAGGCCCAATTGTCATTAATGTCAACAGTTACAGTACATTGAACATTCAATTGAATTCTTGATTAATCAAAAAATAATAATAATCAGAAAAAAAATGACATTATTAACATCAACGATCAGATCATCATCATCAACAAATGAATGACATTCAATGGTTGATTCCTTAATTAATTTGATTTGATTGAGATGTTTTTTTTTGGGTAAACCAAACAAATTCGATTTGGATTCCCGTATGTTTACCGAATTTGTTATCACATCAAAATTAACAATCAATTCAGTGTGAATAACACAGTAGACATCATCATCTTTGAATGAAAACCAATGAAAACCAATGAAAAAAACAACAATTGATTTCAAATGGTTATATAATTACAAACAAACAAACAAGATGTGGTTATTATTATCCTTGATTTCTTATATAATGATGTTACGATTGTGTGTTTACTGTGTGTATGGCCACAATGACAATGATACATAACATTGAAACAAAAAGAAAAATGAAAATGAAAATTACTTCATACATAATACTGATGTAGTCTTAGTTTTTTTTTGTTCAAAACAAAAACATTGATAATGTCGATGATTATGTCGATGATCATGGTTAACAACAACAGCGACTTAGAATAGTAACATCTTGTATAATAGTAACGGTAAAGGTAAAATGAATAAAGAAACCTTGTTTGTTAGTCAAGTGTGTGTGTGTTTCAATGGCACATCCTTGATTCAATGATTCAATGATGTGGATTTTTTTTTCATCGATAGTAATATAATGATGAAAATGAAAATGAAAAAAAAAATTCTCCAAGATTCAATTTGATTTATTGCAACAATTTTTGTTTTTCTGTTGCTGTTTTGATTGTCCACCTTGACATTTTGACATTTAAAAAAAAACAACAAATGAATTTGACAACAACAACAACAAAACTATGTTCCGTATCCGTTAATGATAAATGTCCACCACAAAAAAAATGATTGAATGTTGACGAAAAATGAAATATTACAAAAGTTTTTTACTTCTTATGTTGTTCAAGTTCCGTTATTTCTTAATATCGTAGAGCAAAATTATCAAAGAGAGTGAGTGTGTGAGAGGGAAAATGAAAAGTATTATTTCAAGAAACAAGAAAAAAAAATGAACTAAATTTTTTCTACTTTACCACATTTGGTTATTTATACATTGTTTAATTTTCATGTTAAAGTACCGAATAATAAAAACAAAAAAATATGTACTTTAATCTGAATTCATTTGAAAAAAAACTAATCAAACCAACCAAAACAAACACGATAATTCAATTTATATGGATTCTTTGGAGAAAGAAAGAAAAAATGGAAATTTCGATTACGTTTTTTTATATTTCACTCTTGTTGTTGTTGTTGTTGTTTTCGTTAATAGCACATGAATAAGGGGGGTAAAATTCATTCAAAAATTCATTCGGTTTTCATTCGATGTCATTTTCTTTCAGAGAGAAAAAGTATTATATGAAAAAAAAAGTAATGATGATTGATGCATCCTCATAAGTACATTCAAAAAAAAAAAAATGGAAATTACCTAACACCATTTTATCCTTTACCAATAATAATCATCGTAATCATTTACCTGGACATTATCCTTTCTCTTTTTTGGAGGTTATTTTTATTGTTTTTTTTGTTGTTCTTGCTTTGAATTTCCTTTTTGTTTGTTGTTGTTGCTGTTCCATTTGCATATTTCATTCGGTCAATCATCTTCGGCTATTTCAACAACAACAACAACAACATTAATCAATTTAAACAAAAGCAAAAACAAAAAAAAATGTCAAAAATTTCTAGAAAAATTTCTTTTTTCCGAGAAACTTTCCCTATCAATTTAATGATGCTGTTGTTTTCGTTGTTATCTTCGTGCTTGCTTAATGTATATATTCGTTGATGTTTAGTGCTTGGTGTTTAGTGAGGGGGGAGGAAAGGGGAAAAAAGTAGAAAAAACTTGTGATGAATGAATTTGTTTTTCCAAAATTCTATACCAAAATTCGGTACTTATGCATGCAAAAAAAAAACAAACATTTTGCGTGACTTATCCGCTATAAAAGCAAAAAAAAAATAACAAGTTCTTTGGAAAAACTACTTATATTCATTAATAATAATGTTTTTTTTCTTGGTTATCGTAAATTTTGTCCTTCGTTTGGCAATTTTTGCTGTTTGTTGCTGTTTGGCTGT